AGTTCAAGGCCAGCCTGGTCTACATAGTGAGTTCCAGGACAGCTGGGGCCATAGGGAGACCCTGTTTCAAAAAAAAAAAAAAAGAATGTTATGTATAATAACTTACAATGGACTTTTTTTTTCAAAACAGGGTCTTACCTTGTTGGCCTGGAATTTATTGTGCACACCAAACTGGCCTCAAGCCTAGAGCAATTCTCCTGCCTCTGCTTCTGAGTGCTGAGATTACAGGCATTCACCCCCATGCCCAGTTTATCCTTCATAACTCTTAAGAGTATTAACTGGATCCTGAGACCAAAAGTTTGAGAGCTACTGCCATTAAATATACCTCTATTGTAAAAATGGAGTCAAGACTTAGGGAGGGATCACTTAAAACCACAGTACTAAAAAAATGGCAAAGCAGGTATATGAACCCAGATCTGTGAATGCCAAACACTTTATTCTTTTAGCAAAAGCAGTGCTTGTCATACTTCCCTATACATCACAATCAGCTACAGTGCTTGTTGTAAGCCTTTCTCAATTACTTGATTTTGTTTTGCAGATAGGAAATCAGGTATCTCAAATTGGCCTTGAACGTAATAGCAGCTGAGGAGGACCTGACCTCTTGATCCTGCAACAAGGTAGGATTACAGGTGGAGTTTATGTGGTGCTGGGGAATCACACTCAGGGCCTTATACATGCAGGGCAAGCACTCTACCTACTGAGCTACACTGGTTTGTTTTGAAACAGGGTCTCACTATGTAGCCCTTGCTGCTTTGGAACTCACAGAGATCCACCTGCCTCTGCATCTGAAGTTCTGGGATTAAAGGCACCACACCCAGCCCTGTTTTGATTTTTTTTTTTTTTTTTTTTTTTTAAAAGCGGCTCCCCTTTTTTCCCCTTTCTTTTTTGGAACCCCCAAAAAACCCCCTCCCTCTTCCTTTTAAATTTTTGGATTAAAAGCCCCCCCCCCCCCCCTTTTTTTTTTTTTTTGTCTTTTTTGAGACAGGGTCTCCTTGTAGCCCTAGCTGTCCTGGACCTCACTATGTAGACCAGGCTGGCCTAGAACTCACAAAGATCCACCTGCCTCTACCCCCCAAGTGCTGGGATTAAAGGCGTGCGCCACCATGCCCAGCCCTGTTTTGATTTTTTTGAAACAGAATTTCATGTAGCCCAGGCTAGCCTTGAGCCCCAGCTCCTCTTACCTTAGCCTTCTGAATGCTAGGACTATAGGTATTCAATACTAAGCCTCATACACACTCAGAAAGCTTTTTTGTGTGTATGTGGTGCTGGGAACTGACCCTAGGGTCTCACACCTGCCTGACAAGCGCTCTACCACTGAGCAATGTTCCCAGCCCATAAAGCATTTATTTATTTTTAATTTTTATTTTATGTGTATGAGTGTTTTGTTATGTATGTAAGTACAACCATGTTATGCAAAGTCAGATCCCCGGGAACTGGAGTTAAGGACCTTGTTAGTCACCATGTGGGTGCTGGGAATTCAACCTGGGTCCTCTGCAAGAACAGCTAGTGCTCTTAACCACTAAGTCATCTATCCAGCCCCTACAAAACATTTTAAAAAGTGCATAATTCCCTCGCCTTGGGAGCCAGCACTTAAAGAGGCTGAAGTGGGAGAACTATGAGTCCTGGCATACCCTGGGTTGCATAGTGAGACCCTGTCTCAAAAAAACAAAAACAAAAAACCTGTAGAATTCCAGACCATAACCTGAGATTGATCCAATATGTAGCTCCAAGGTGGAGAATAGAACCTCATTAACAAGCTCCCCCAAATGATTCTGATACAGATGAGCCATGGATCACAGGAGACATACTGTTTTTGACACCAGGTCTGCCTCCCAGCCTTTGAGCCTCTGGTACAAGAGTTTGTCAGAACTGTCACATTCCTGGGACACTACATCTTACCTACTTTCCACAGAACCTCTGCTATATTCCATCCTCATACTTCAGTTCTCATCAAGTTGGTCATCCCTGGCTCTGCACTATTGGGAATGCCTTTAAGCCAAAGCCCACCCCACAGGGGCTGAGGAAGGAAAGAGGAGCAGACAGCACCAGGGAATGCCTGGGTTGAGGGTAGGGAATCCTGAGCCCAGCCAGTCCTCCTGGTTGTCTGACTCCTGGCCCCACCTGTTCCCGGGCAGCACTGAACATGGGCTCCTGGATGTCGGTGTACATGCGGCGGAGGGCATTATACCCTCCAGGGATGCTCTCCAGGTTGCTCAGGGCCCGGTCCTGGTTCCGCATCATTTCTTGCATCATGGCTGGATTCCGAGCAAGCTCCATTGTCTGGTGAATGGAAAAAGATGAGATGGGTTGGAATCAGTGGAGCACCAAGGTAGGAAAAGGAACCCAAGGAAAATCACCCCACAATGGCATGGAGAAAGGTATACCAGATTCCCTTCCTCTACTATAATGGGGACTTCGGCCCTACCTGCCTCCCTGTAGCTATTTTGGTTGGCTTTTTCTAACTGAGGCTAATGTTCCTAGATACATAAAACAGCAACTTCTGAGCCAGGCATGGTGGTGCACCTTTAATCCCAGCACGCAGGAGGCAAAGGCCAGCAGATCTCTGTGAGTTCAAGGCCAGCCTGGTCTACACAGTGAGTTCCAGGCCAGCTGGGGCTATAGGGAGACCCTGTCTCAAAAAGTCCAAAAAGAAAAAAAAAAAAACAACCCAGCAACTTCCCCTTCTCTAGCTCAGAGGGGTCTATAATATTGGAAAGAAGCATTGGAGAACACAAGGAAATGGGTAAGAAGCGGCACTGGGATAAATAAACACAGAATTCAAGTCATACAATTTGCACAGTAACCATCCCAAGTAGGTATTCTTGCCCCTTTTTTGTAGATACAAAAACAGGCTCAGAAGTTCATGGACTTGTTTCCCTCAGACGCATACCAGTTAATCATACAGGTAGGTTTCTAGGCCAGTTTGGCCTGTCTCACAAAAATCACACTGGAAGTCCTGTTAAATAACAAACTGGGCAGGGAAAACATTCAGACTGAATGTCCTCAATTCCCACTTTTAGGTCTTCAGTCAAACTGAACCTTGAGCAACACTGAGGATGTGGGCTTTCTTCTTTGCAGCTGATAGCTCCCTATCAGTAAGGAGTTGCTGCTGGTATCAAATGTTAGGCAGTTCATGGTAACAGCAGCAGAGCTACTTCTTATTCTTAACCTATTTAAATTCCTTCCGTCTTCTGAAATTAGTTCCAGACTTCTACAACACCCTCTAGACTGATATACCTAGCCTTATAGGACTCTGCTCTCTTGTCCCATAATTCATTTATCAAATAAGTATTTGTTGAGTTAATAATGGACCAGGCACAGTTCTACACAGGAACAAAACACCCAACACTCAAAAGTTCTTATACCATTAAAAAAAGTCCTTGAGCAGGACCCTGTCTCAACAAAAAAAAAAAAAAAAAAAAAAAAAAAAAATCACAAAATAGCCCTTGCCTCTTAGAGGAGTTATGTGTTTGCAAAGCCTCTGCTGGCAAGACCTTCTATTCCTTTTTTTCTTTTCTTTCTTTTTTTTGGGGGGGTCTTTTTTAGACAGGGTTCCAGCTGGCCTGGAACTCACTATGTAGACCAGGCTGGCTTTGAACTCACAGAGATCTGTTTGCCTCTGCCTCCCCAGTGCTGGGACTAAAAGTGTGTACCACAATGCCTGTCAAAGCATAAATATTTCTTTTTTTTTTTTCCTTTTAATGACCTTCTATTCTTATCCTCTGGTACACTGGACCATGAATTGGAACTCCCAAATGCTAATAAAGAAATGGTCTCTGGGGGCTGGAGAGATGGCTCAGCGGTTAAGAACACTGGTTCTTTCTTCTTGCAGAAGACCCCGGTTTGAAACCCTGCACCCACATGGCAGCTAACAACTGTCCGTAACTCCAGTCCCAGGGGATTTGACAGCCTCTTCTGTCTTCTGTGGGCATTGCATGAGACGGGTACACTTACCTACATGCAGGCAATATACAAATACACATAAAATAAAAAATAAATAAAATTAAAAAAAAAAAAAGAAAAGAAATGGCCTCCACTGGGAGTCCTTTCCCCACTGGACCCACCCAGCCAAATGCTCCCAAACAGCCTACTGTCTTTTATCTCAGGCCTGTTCTTTGTTGCTCCTTGGCCTAGTCGTTCCTTTTCTTTCCCTGGTTCACGTTCTTTCTTTGGGTCTCAGCTTAATGATGTTTCTTCCAGAAAACCTCTAAGTCCCAGAATAGGGTCAGAAGCCCTTCCTAATTCTGTTCCTAGGGGATCATGCGACCATCCTCAGGGTATCCCAGGTCATACTGTTTTATAATTGCCTGCATACTTGTCCCACTGCTCTTAAGAGACCAGGAGTTTCTGAAAAGCTAGGCCTACATCTGCTCATCTTGAATGTCCAAAACATAGCTGCTGAATGAACAGATGAACAGAGGATAAGGTAGGTATAGCTGACAGCAGATGTCCTCCATCCCTCTGGCCTCTTCTCGTACCTACCTGCCTCATGAGCTCAGGATTGTTGAGCATGTGGCTGATCTCAGGATTCCGTTCCATCAGTTGCTGCATTTGGGGGTTGGCCATGATCATGTGGCGCATCAGATCAGGGTTTGACATCATATCCTGGACTAAAGGGTTCTCCATAATCTGTGACAGCATCTCAGGGTTGGACATCAGCTGCCTCTGCATCTGTTGTTGTAGCTCCATAAAGTTGGCAGAGCCCAGGCCCAGGCTGCCCAGGCCGAGGATGCCCCCAAAGCCAGCTGTGGGAAGTACCGGGTAGGGTTAAAGTCTACCTCTCAAGTCCTCCCTACCCAGCAGAGCCTCTGAATTCAGGTCTCCAGGACAGGCCCTCATTGCTTCTAACATGTCCCTCTTCTAATCACTCACACAGCTCCAGCCCTGATTAGCTTCTGGCAGACAGCTGTGGGCTGCTGGCACTGAGAGCTCTGTGAAGGCCAAGACCAAGCTGAGCACAACACTAAGCAGACATAAGTCAGTCAGCGGGCTGCTGAATGAGAAGCCAGTGCCTCCACCTGCCTTTCTGTACTCCTCACCCAGGGCTCTCCCACCTCATCTCTCCTTTTTCTCTTGAACTTGGTTCTACTTCCTAACTTTGGGAAAACATCACAAACTGGTTTCCCATCCAGCTTGGCTTAAGTACCAACACCTGGAACCCTATGTCCAGGCATCCCCATGGGATCAGGAGCAGGCACCATGTTTCTTCTTCCTCTTGGTGCTTCCCACTCCCCAGCACAACTTCAGATTGTGCTCTCCTCCCTAAGGGCTTACAGAGAATTGATGCAGTAGCACTTGGAGGTCCATCCCCAGTCACTGGGGTAGGCCCCCCTCCACTGCTCCTCCGGCTTCCACTGCCAGCATCTGAAGCGGCACTGCCAGAGCTGCAGGGCTGGGCAGGGGTGGCAGGTGAGGCAGGTGTGGAGGAGGGCGCTGAGGTAGGGTCAGGAGTAGAGGGGGGCGAAGCAGTAGCACTTGGATCTTGAGCCCTGAGGACAAAGAATGGAAAATCCTAGTTAGAGTGAGTCTTAGAAGGCAGGTGGTGGTGCAGATGGTGCCAGCTCAAGCCACCTCCTGAGCAACCTCAACCCACCCTTACCTTACGATGGCAGGTTGCTGGGGGCAGTCCATACATCAGGGAGGGGGAAGGTGTTAGTATCATTGGTCTTTAGGGCATTCTGGGAGTAGTCAGTTAGGCTCCCCTCCTAGAGGTGAGATCTTATCACATCAGCCCCAGGCCTGAGAATAGCCCTCTAGGTATATTGAAAGATCTGAAGGGGAGTCCTAACCAAGAGCTAGGCCTGAGGCCCGGAGTGGTGTCACACACCTTTAATCCCAATCCAATCCAGAGGCAGAGGCAGGTGGATCTCTGTGAATTTGAGGCCAGCCTGTTCTACATGGTGAGTTCCAGGCTAGTCAGGGCTATATAGTGAGACCCTGTCTCAAAAAAAAAAAAGCAAACAACAACAAAAAAGAGCTAGGAATGCTGTACTCCTCAACTTACTTCTGTGGGGTCTTGATGACTAGATGTACAGTGAGCCCATCCTTGATTCCATGCTGGTTCAGCGTGTCTCCATCCTTAAGGATCTTGCCTGCGAAGATCAGGACCAGCTGATCCTGCTGAGCCTTAAACCTCCGGGAGATTTCCTCCTTGAACTGTGATCAAGAGGCAGAGATCACTGTGGAGGCTGCCTGTGCTCCACTGTCAGGGACTCTACAGACTACATTCTCTTCCTTTGATCTACTCATGGGAAGTCCTTCCTGCACCCTCAACTCTGCTTCTCCAGCTGCAATAAGCACTCCTTTATGAATCTGAGATGGACCTGCTCAGTTCCATCATAAAGTCTCCAATCCTGGAAAGCACCTAAAGCTACCCACCACAGCAACTTCAGCCTTTCAACCCATTCTCTGAGAGGATCCTACCTGGCAGCGTTCCCCACTCCAATTCCTTCAACCAGCCTTGGCTCTGTTTCTTTAGCCTTCTCTGGCTCCCAGTTACTCTCTGGTCTTTCTTCCCAGCTTTCTCATAATGATAACAAATAGATTCCAGTTATTGAGCACAGCTTTATGAGTTAGCAACCTAGTGTATTAGTTATTATCTACACTTTAAAGACTAGGATCAGAGAGGGAGGTAATGGAACTCAAGTCTGGACATCAATGTCCAGGATCTTTATTAGGCATTCTCAATTAGAGCTGTTTTCTAATTTAGCTTTTCCTGGAAATAGAACATTCTCAGATGAGAGAGCAGTGGTGAAACCAAAGGCTACTGGGGGTGGGGGTGGGGGGTTAGACTCTAGATTCTATCAGGCCCTCCAAAACAAAACAAAACAAAACAAACACATACTCTTAAGTATAAACAGTGCACTTGCTAAGCAAAGCTCTCTTCCAACCAGATGGCCTATCTTAAGCCCCGCCTATGTGAAATTCTGGAGCAGCCAAAACCCTGGCAAACAGCAATAGTCCCTCACTCTCATTCAAAAACATTTTGTTGAGCACTTACAGTGCTCGGTAAATCCTACAGGGCAGAAAACCGAACACAACCGTACATTTCTGAGCAGGAAAGATCTGGGCCGAGGGGGAGTCCCCACCGCCCAGTGCTCCCAGAGGCGCGCAGCAGCAGTTCAGACTCCTTGGGGTTTAGCACCTTGCTAGGGCCGCACGGTTCCTCCGCGCCTCGAATAGCTACTAGTAACCCGAGCGCACACTCGCCTCAAACCTAGGGTCCTCCCGGAACCCCGTCCGCCGCGTGCAAGGTGTCCCTTCCCCATGTTTCCCCACCACGCCCCCAGCCCTGGCCACAAGGCCAAACCCGCCCCATCAAGCGCCATCCCGAGGACGCCCCTCCCTGCCTCTCTACCCCGCTGTCCCGGGTCCCCGCGGGCCCCCGCCCCGCCCTGGGAGCGTCCCCGCCGCCAGGCTGTCCCCGAGGCCCCCAGCTCTGCGCTGACCCCTCCTCCGCGCTCCTCCTGTCCCCCGCCAGTCCTACCTCCTTGACGGAAGCTCGATCGCAGATCACAATTTCCTCCTTGTCCTTGGGGGTCTTGACGGTGACCCGAATAGGGGGCCTCGTCTCTGCCCCGCTCGGCTCCGCCATGCCGCCACCCGGCCGCCCGCCAGCCCGCCCACTCGGCTCCTCCTCCTCCTCCTCCTCCTCTCCCGACCCGCGGGCCGGCTGGGCTGCGGTGCCTCCGACTCCCCCTCCCGCCCTTCCTCTAGGCTCCGCCACCCCCTCAGGACAGCTGCCGCCACAGCGCCCCAGGCGGCCTGGGGGAGCACTGCAACTGGGTCGCCCTAGAGCGGCGCCCGCAGTAGCCCAGGCAGCGCCTCCGAGCCCGGAGGGGGCGGCGCCGCACAGGGCCGGAGCCCACCCGAGCCCCGGCGGACCCCGCTCCCGCTAGGGACAAAGGACTCCATGCCGCCGCCTGTCTCCGTCTCCTTGGGAGGCCAAATCTCTCCCTAGGCCTGGGGACGCTCGACTCAGCCAGCCCGAGTGCCTCAGTTGACCACGCTTTCAGACACTGGAGTTTGCCTACGTGGCCTCACTGAGCCTCGGATGTCTGTCCAGAGAACAGTACCTCTCGCCTCACAGAATTGTGCCTACCGTGGGAAGACTACTTTGAAAACTAAACAAGGATGTGCCTAACAATACAGGGTTTTATTGTTGAATCGCAACTTGCAAGTAGGCAGGAAGGCACACTTCTCACCCCGCCCCCCCAGCCTCGTGGTCTGACTGGAAAGCTTAACTAGAGTTCCCAAAATGCCTTGAGAGTTTACAAAGAACTACGATTCCCAGCGCCCCGCGCGCGAGGCGGGGTGGGGTGGGGGTGTGTTGCGCCAGAACGTCCATAGCCGGGGTGGAGACTACAACTCCCAGGGTGCCTCAGAGCTGGGCAGCTGGGCTACCGGAAGGCGCAGGCAGAGTACTGCAGAAGACAACTCGGGGCATCTGGATGCGAGTTTGGGTGAGCAGCGGTAGGCATGCTGCGTCCCAAGGCTCTGACGCAGGTGCTAAGCCAAGCCAACACTGGAGGAGTCCAAAGCACCCTGTGAGTGCACACCGAAGACCCAAGCGCTGGAGTGGGGCAGCGTGCGGCTGCATTCGGTAGGGGTAGAGAAGCAGCCTGGAAGGGAGGAGGCCGGTGATCTGGGCTGTAGCTTTGGGAGCCCACCTTGAGGGCCCCTCGGAAGTGGAAATTGGCGTGCTGGGATGCTTAGGGAACCTCTCAGGATATATTCAGCTCATATCCGTGCCTCCTAAAAGCGCAAAGTAGAGAGAGTTGAGATAGGAACCCACGCGTTTCACTCTTTAGTTCGTCAGTTCTTTCTTTCCCTGTTCCTCGCCAGGCTGTTGAATAATGAGGGATCATTGTTGGCCTATTCGGGTTACGGGGACACAGATGCCCGGGTCACTGCCGCCATCGCCAGTAACATCTGGGCTGCTTATGACCGGAACGGGAACCAAGCATTTAATGAAGACAATCTCAAATTCATCCTTATGGACTGCATGGTATGGAGTACACTAGGCTGGCCTCGAACTTGCACCGATGATTCTGCCTCTGTCTACTGAGTGCTGAGATTACAGGCGTCCAGCCACCACATCTTGTCAGTTTATAGGGTTTTTTATTGTTGTTGGTTTTTTTGGTCTTTTTGAGACAAGGCCTCCCTGTAACCCCACCTGGCCTTGAACTCACCGAAATCTGCCTGCCTCACCACAAACAGCTGCCAATTTATAGTTTTATGTACATTTTAAAATAAGTAAAACATTAGATATAAAAAATGCAAAGGAGCCGGGTGTGGTAGCACATGCCTTTAATCCCAGCTCTAGGGAGGCAGAGGCAGGTGGATTGCTGAGATTGAGGCTAGCCTGGTCTACATAATGAGTTCGAAGCCAGCTGTAGCTACAGGGAGACCCTGTCAGGCAGAGGCAGGCGGATCTCTGTGAGTTCAAGGCCAGCCTGGTCTACTTACTGAGTTGCAGGCTAGCTGGGGTACTGGGAGACCCTGTGTCAAAAAAAAAAAAGCAAAGGAAGGAAAAAAAGGGAAGTGAGATTAAGACAGGAACATATATCATGGTCAGTATCACTGAAAAGGTGACAATTGCTGAAAGATCTTAAGGAAGATGGGGTGGAGAAAGGAAGCTGAGCAGCTCTTGTAGGAAAACTATTTCTGACAGAAGCAAAGTACAAAGGTTCTAGGGCAGCGGGGCTGGTGGCACACTTGGGAGGCAGAGGCAGGGGGCATCTCTGTGAGTTCAAGGCCAACCTGGTTTGCATGGTGAGTTCCAGGCCAGCTGAGGCTACAAAGAGACCCTGTCTCTCTGCCTTGAACTCAGAGATTCCCTCTGCCTCTGCCTCCCAAGTGCTGGGACTATAGGTGTGTGTCACCACACCCCGCCTAAGGGTGAATTTTTTGGAAAGCTTTCCTCTAACCCAGGCTGCCCATTCTTCCCTATTTCCCACACAACCATTACTGACTCCTACTGGGTGCTGAGTCTAGGGTAGGTAAAACAGGGCAATAGCTTCAAAGACTTCCATTACAGCCCAACCATAAGAAATTTGTTTTTAGCGGGGTGTGGTGGCGCATGCCTTTAATCCCAGCACTTGGGAGGCAGAGGCAGGCGGATCTCTCTGAGTTCGAGGCCAACCTGGTCTCCATAGTGAATCCAGGACAGCTGGGGCTACAGGGAGACCGTATCTCGAAAAGACCAAAAAAAAAAAAAAGAAAAAAGAAACAAATTTGTTTTTATGGGTGCTGGAGAGATGTCTCAGCAGTTAAGAGCACTGGCCACCCTTGAAGAGGACCACAGTTCAGTTCCCAGCACTCACATGGCAGCTAACAACCATCTGTAACTACAATTCTAGGGGATCTGACTTTCTTTTCTGGTGTCTGTGGGCATTGCATGTATGCATATGATCCACTTACATACATGCAGGCAAAACACTCATACACTAAAAAAAATTCCTATTTGAAAATTATTTTAAGGGACAGAGGATCAAGCTCAGTGGTAGAGCACTTGCCCAGGTTTTTGGTCTTTTTGAGACAGGGTCTCTCTGTAGTCCCAGCTGGCCTGGAACTTGCTATATAGACCAGGGCAGCCTTGAACTCACAGAGATCCAACTGCCTTTGCCTCCTGAGTGCTGGGATTAAAGGCAGGTGCCACTATGCCTGGCTTCTAAAAAATTTTGAAGATTTTGTTTTATATGTATGACTGTTTAGTCTTCATGTATGTGTCATGTGTGTGCCTGGTGCCTGCAGAGGCCAGAAGAGGGCATCAGATCCCATGGAACTGGAACTAAGGATGGGGTCCTGGGAACCCAACCTGAGTCCTCTGGAATAGCAGCCAGTGCTTTTAACCACTGAGCCATCTCTCCAGCCCCAATTGGGACAAGTCTTGACATTACAGAAGAAAAACCCAGTTTCTGGGAGATGACTCAGTTTCCTGGGATAACTTGGTTAGGAAGAGGCTGTGCCAAGGATGGACTGCAGCTCAAGACTCCCATGTCTGAGCAAAATTTCCCAGCTGAATTTTGTACTGCACCCAGCCTTGGGAGGAATATAGTATCTCTATGGCCAGAGGAGTCCTGGGAAGGAGGGAACTAAGGGTGCCAACCAGAATATCCCATTATATCTTATAACCCCTACCAGGAGGGCCGTGTAGCCATCACCCGGGTAGCCAACCTTCTGCTATGTATGTATGCCAAGGAGACTGTGGGCTTCGGAATGCTCAAGGCGAAGGTGAGTAATGTGCCTACCCTGCCAACACCCTGGGCCCAGCCACAGCACATATTCACTGTGTCCACTCCTCACCTGTGCCCCTTTCTGGAGTTCTCATGTCTCCTCAGACCATGTCTGGGGTGGGCTAAGCACAATGGAGGTGGACTGGTGGCTTGTTGATTGCTCCATAAACAACTCATGGACTGATGTGTGTTTTCACCTCCTTGCAGGCCCAGGCTTTGGTGCAGTACCTGGAGGAGCCACTCACCCAAGTAGCAGCATCATAATAGTGTTGATAGGAGCCAGATAAGAAAAGAACTGGATAATGGGAGGGGTGGGGTGCTGGAGAAACCTGGCTGAGTGAAGGAGGGTAGGACTTTTGCTTTTTTTCAGAATAAAATTCAACTCCTGCCTCGTGTCTCAGCTGCTTTCTTGGGTGAAAGGAGCCAGATGGCTTACTTAGAAGATTCCTTCTGTTCTGCAAGCATGTATTTCATCTTACTCCATCTCAGAACTCTGAGACCAGTGTTTGTTGGCAGTGCTGCACCAGCGCCCTTGGCCTCTCCAGCAGTGTTGCCCACCTAACCCCTGCTACTCAGAGCAGAATCTTGCCCACCCATTTGGCAACCCCATAGGAGTGAGCTAGAGGAGCAAAGGCCAGGTTGTATTGGACACAGAAAATATAGAGCCCTGGAGTTCAGGTGTCTCAGCTTTCACTCCTAGGGCCATGAGTCAAACAGACCCTCTCTGCAGCTTTTGCTTTGGTTTGGTTTGTTAAAAAAAATTAGGGAGGCTGGAGAGATGGCTCAGTGGTTAAGAATACTGGCTGTTCTTGCAGATGACCTGGGTGTGAATCCCAGCACCCACATGGCAGCTAACAACTGTCTGTAACTCCAGTCTCAGGGGATTTGGCAGCCTCTTCTGTCTTCTGCAGGCATTGCACGACATGGGTGCATTTACCTACGTGCAGGCAACACACGCATACACATAAAATAAAAATAAATTTTAAAAAAAGATTTTTTTTTTTAAATTTAAAATTATTTAATTTTAGGCCGGGCATGGTGGTATACACCTGTAGCCCCAGTACTTAGGAGGCAGAGGCAGGAGGAGCTCTGTGAATTCAAGGCCAGCCTTGTCTACAGTGAGTTCCAGGCCAGCTGGGGCTAGGGGAAGACACTCGAAAAGACCAAAAAAAAAAAATTTAAAAAAAAATTTAATCTTGCGTGTATGTTTTGCATGCATGTAAGTGCACATATGTGTGCAATGCCCACAGAAGCCAGAAGAGGAGGTCAGATCCCCTAGAACTGGAGTTGTGGCTGGTTGTCAGCTGCTGTGTGGGTGCTGAGAACTGAACCTAGATCCTCTGGCAAGAGCAGCCAGTGCTCTAACCACTGAGAAATCTTTCCAGCCCTTAATTTTTAAAATAGTATTTTATTATTTTAAAATAATAACCGCTCTTAACCGCTGAGCCATCTCTCCAGCCCCCAAATAATTTTAAATTAAAAAAAAATCAAAACAGCAGGGCATGGTGGCACACGCCTGTAGTCCCAGCACTTAGGAAGCAGAGGCAGGCGGATCTCTGTGAGTTCAAGGCCAGCCTGGGCCTACAGGGAGACCCTGTCTCAAAAAGACCAAAATGAAAAAAGAATCAGTTTTTATTCATTTATTCCCTGTGGGTATGTGCGTGTGTATACATATGTGACCATGTGTATCCTAGAGTGTGAGTGTGGAGGTCAGAAGACAACTTGCTGTTGGTTTTTCCCTCCCATCATGTATGTCCTGAGGATTGAACTGAGGTCTTCAGGCTTGGTGGCAAGTGCCTTTTTTATGTGCTGAGCCATCCCGCCAGCCTTAAATGTCTTTTAATTACATTTATTTATTGGGAGGGGGATACACACATGGGTATATGTGTGTACCACAGCACATGTGTGGAGGTCAGAAGACAATTTTGGGGATTTGGGTCTCTCCACCATGTGGGTCCTAAGGATTGAATTCAGGTCTTCAGGTTTGGCAGCAAGAACCTTTACTACTGAGCCATCTTGCTGGCCTGGTTTTTTTTTTTTTTTTTTTTTTTTTTTTTTTAGACATAGTCTCACTAAGTAGCTATGGCTAGCCTGGAACTTACTACGTAGACAGAGATCCACCTGCCTCTGCCTCCCAAGTGGAGGGCTGGGATTAAAGGTGTGGACCACCACATCTGGCCCCCTGATTTATTTCTTGAGAGTGTCTCTTGCTATGCAGTCCAGGCTGGCCTGGAACTTATTGTAGCCTAGACTGGTTTCCAACTCTTAGCAACTCTCCACCCTAGCTGGGGTTACAAGTGTGAGCCACTAAGCCTGGCATTCTCTGGATCTTAAGACCAACAAGATACCTTTGCTGTGAGGCTTCAATTCCTGGACAAAGACTAGAAGGCCTTGGGGACCTCACTTCCAGAATGTGTGCTCATACTCCATGCTCGCTGTGCCTGGCTCTTTCTACTTTGTGTCTGTCTTCCTGCCATCCAGTCTGTGAAGGGAAAGGGTCTGTGTAAGAAGCTACCAGCCCTTTGTCCTGATCCCGTAGGAAGGGGCCCATGTGGGTAGGAGGAGTCCCAGCCCCACCCAGGTGAGCAGTGCTGCCCATCCCAGTCTTGGGGCTGTCAAGGGGCCTAAAGCGCTGGGCTGGTGTAGTTCCCATGGCTCTGCACTGCAGTGCAGGGCCAGGCCCAGCCCCTTCCTGCCCCAATAGCCCTTCCCCTAGTGCCCCCAGTATGTCCCTACTTTATATAATGTCAGAAGTTAAAGCAGGGGGCCAGAAGCTTTCTGTCCTACACGGTTCCTGGCTGCTGCTCCCCTTCTATAGAACCCAGGAGCCTAGCAATATGCACTCAGCCCCCAGCCTCACACACTGGTACCCGTGAAAGTAGGCTCTCCAGTTTCTGGGAGCCCTGGCTGAGAGTAGACACCTAACCTGTCCAACCTGTCTTACGTCACCTTCTCTCCACCCACCTGGGTCCCTGGTCCCTAGCCGCACTTGCTAGCTAGTGCTTCCTGTTTTCGGCTTCCGTCCTCTCAGCTTCCACCGAGCACCTCCACCTGCCAGAGCTGAGCCTCTGAGGCCCTTCCTGGCCTCAAGTCGGCCCTCAGTTCTTCACCCCAATGAGAGGAGTGCTGGGTGCGGGTCTCTTAAGAGCTGAGGGTTGAGGTCACTGAACCAATAAACACACTTGTGACTTCTGCCCCTGAAAACACCTGCACGTCAATGCAGAGCCAAGATGGGGAATGGAACAGAGGAAGATTATAACTTCGTCTTCAAGGGTAAGTTGGGGTCCTTGAAGAGGGATGAAGCCAGAAAGAATGGGAGAGAGACGCTATTAACACAACAGGTAGGGCTTCCTCCTACCTTTTATTTCTTAGCAGGATCCTCCCCTCCTTTTGGTTAAGCTAAGAAAGGGCACTGCTAGGAGTCGGGGAGGGTCTGGTTGCAGGTGTAAATGTCCACATGTTGTGGAATGTGGTTGTAAAGATGTCTGTCATTCCTTTTTATTGCCAAATTAGGCTTCCCCTGCCCAGTCAGTGCAGCACAAAAGATGAAAGTCAGACTCCAGACAGGACTTCATTTGGAATAGAGGGAGAATCAAGCCAATTTAAGAGGAAAAAAGGTGGGCAGGTGTACAGGAAATGAGAGAAAGGAGGGACTTAGTCATTGTTGGTTTAAGTAGTTGCTACATTGGGATGATGTAACAAATTTGGAGCAAAGTCTGATAGATTCCACAGGACTTAGATGTGCTGGCCCTTGGCACCTTCTCTGGATGGCCACTGGGCACTAGATTCATCTGGTTGGCTCTGACATTTTATTCTCCTCCCAGGCCCCGTGTTTGATCCTTCTGTGGGTCCCTAGTCCCACATGAATACCTCCTTGAATGCAAGGTGAATTGGTGGCACTTCCCTTTGCACCCCACTCCACAGTCTCTCCCAGTCTCAGCCCCGCCCTGGCCCAAGCTGGGGAGCCTGTATTCCTGGCACACGGAAACAGAGAGCTGGTAGGGTGTGGTGATGACCTGGGTGACTCTACTAGGGGGCCATTCACACTTGTCACCTCAACATCCCTAGAAAGATCTATCATTCTGAGGTAGACCTCCGCCACTCACCAGTTAGCACAGATAGGGTCCCAGTGCCACTATGGAGAAGTCTGGGGTGTTTGATGCTGATTTTGAGTGTGAAGATAGGCAGTAGGAAACAGGATTAGGCAAAGGTTAGTTAGCTGCCATGAGGGATCAGAGCCCACCTAATCCACAACTGCTGCCCCAAGCAGTTTTAGGACCCTAGGACAAGGCTGGGGATAGATGATGGGGATGCCATTACCAGCAAGGAAGAAGCAGGAAAACACAGGTGCACCTTCACCTTCTCTCTTCTTCCACAGAAGTGTCACCTGCCAACCTTTCTCCTTACCCGCACCACTGTCCACCATGCAAATGCACAGCACATAGAACCCCTCCCTCATTCTTCCAGCTTACATACACACATAAACAATGTTTTCCTAGTCCATAAATGTGTACCCCAGACCTCACACTGCCCCTGTCCAAATTCACGCACCTTGCCTCAGTATCCACTCAACATGGTACCTGTGAACAGTCCACAGCTGGCATTGTGAGCTGCAACACAGGCAAGCTTGGTAGCCCCTTCCTGGAACACTCCTGGCCCTTCAACATCCCCGAAACCGTTGTTATGCAAAGTGGCCAACCACAGTGCCAGTAGAGTCAGCTGTCTCCTAAGTTTTCTAAGCTCAGTTCCTCTTTTCTGGGGTATACTCTCCAGTCCAGGTGGCCTTGGGGTCCCTCTGCCCTGGCTCAGCTCTCCTCTCTCCACTCCCTCAGTGGTGCTGATCGGTGAGTCAGGTGTGGGCAAGACCAATCTGCTGTCCCGGTTCACTCGCAATGAGTTCAGTCATGACAGCCGTACCACCATCGGTGTTGAGTTCTCCACTCGAACTGTTCTCCTGGGCACCGCTGCTGTCAAGGCACAGATCTGGGACACAGCTGGCCTGGAGCGCTACCGAGCCATCACCTCTGCGTGAGCCTGGGCCTGGGAGCAGGGGCTGGTGGGTTATGAGGACCCTGGAAGACCAGAGAACTCCTGTGAAGCACAAGTGTGGGAGGATGGCAGTATGTTCTGGGCGGGGGATGGTGTTCATGGAGATATAGGATATTAGCTACAGTGATAAGACAGGATGTAATCATGAAAACATGTCATGGCCACCACTTTTTAAGCCTTTGCCAAGTGCCCACTTTGTACCTGGCATTTTTTCGGAACCCTTAAAGTATCACAGAAGGCACTATAATCAATCATTTAAATGCCAGCAAGGTGGAATGCTGGTGAGCCCAGATGGAGCAGATGTACGGACCCAGAGTGCCCCCTTGCTTCAGCACTGTGCTCTGCACTTAGCAACATGTCTAATCACAAAAGCCAATGCCTGGCTGGACCTGAAGTGTGAACTTTTTATTTTTTAGAATTTTATGTATTGATTCATTGGTTGTACTGGGAATTGAAACTGTGGTCTCCCATTCTACTATGCAAGCACTATACCACTGAGTTTAATCCCAACTAAGAGTGCATTTTATAAAGCTTTAGAGGACATAGGAAGTTAGGCCTCCTAACCACAACCAAAGTGCCCCATAGGGTCTCCTGATCAGGATGAGGGCCAAGTGTTTGAAAGTTGGTATATGAGGTAAGGTGAAGGGCAGCTCCTGTAAGAGGTAAGTACCAGGAAGTGGGATTATTACATACATTCGCAAGGGCCACACATACACATCACTCTTTAGTCCCTTGATTTCTTATAAGCTTTGGTTGATTTGTCAGTAAACTAGGAATAAACCAGGCATGGTGGCTCATGCCTGTTATCCTAGCCGAGGCAGGAGGACTGCCTTGAATTTGAGGCCAGCCTGGACTACATAGCCAGTTCCTGTCTCAAAACAAACAGACAAATAAACAAAGATAGGAATAATTAGATACTAGCCTGAAGCCAGCCCTTCCAATTCAGAGGCTCCAGAAAATGGTTAGACGCCTACAGGGATATCCTGGCAGTCAGGCCAGGTACTCCTCCAAGAGGCAGGCATTTGACTCATTCTGGAAAGAAGACAGAGGTAGCAAGAGAGAAGAGCACTGGATGAGGAGGCAAGTGAGGAAGACATCAAAGGTGAGGCAAACCGGGTAGAGTCCACATGGGCAATGTTCAGGGCTAGAATCAGGACCAAAGGCTGAGGAAGCAGAGTGCCTATGAGAGGACACAGGGGGTATGGACCAGGGAAGTGATGCTTCAAGACTCTGAGACCAGCACCCCTGTAGCACACAGGAGCCTTGAGTGCCCTGCTGGGGTTGGGGTGGAGTCCTTGTACTGGTTTATTTCCTGATTGCTGGTACTCTCAGGTATCTCTCTCTGCTCTGAGGCTAGGCCTGACTCCTTAACTGGTCTCTGCCCACACCTCCCACCCCCATACAGGTACTATCGAGGGGCAGTAGGAGCACTTCTGGTATTTGACCTAACCAAGCACCAGACCTACACTGTAGTGGAACGCTGGCTGAAGGAGCTCTACGACCACGCTGAAGCCACCATTGTTGTCATGCTTGTAGGGAACAAGAGTGACCTCAGCCAGGCCCGAGAGGTACCCACTGAGGAAGCCCGCATGTTTGCTGGTGAGAGCCCACCCCACTGACTCATTTGCCCAATACCCCCAGCTCTCCAGGCCGTTTCACCCCAGGGCTCCATGTGGCCTTCCCCCATGCGGTTCACTGCAGCCCCTCTGGGACTCTGTGTCTCCTGTCCACTCCCCACCCCCATTTGCCCTAAGATTGTCATCATCAGCAAGCATTCACAGTTGATTTTAAAGCAGCTCCATTCTCCAGCATTCAAAGATCCTGTGGGCTCCAATTGACCATCTCCAGCCATTCTTTTCCCAGTTTTCTGGGTTTAGCAGTAAATACGTGGTAGTTTAGGTAGTTACTTTGTCAGTTACTAAGTGTGGATCATGAAGCAAGCTCCTTTTTTCTCCCTGTATTTCTAGTTTTCAGCTCCTAACTGAATCCACCTCATATACCGTTTAAAGGATAAAATGAGCTACTGTGTGCCAGGAGCTGAGCTTACAGCAGAGACATAGAAAACATTAAATGTTAAAACTGTTGCCTTGGACCCACAACTAATTCAGATTTTCCTTTCTGACAGAAAACAATGGCCTGCTATTCCTGGAGACCTCAGCTCTGGACTCTACCAATGTTGAGCTGGCCTTTGAGACAGTCCTCAAAGGTTAGAGCCTCATTCCATTGGGTACAACTGGACTAGACACCCTGGCCAGCTCTCAGCCCCCAGCCTCCTTAGAGCCATGGGTACCACCTCCTATCCCTAAGTCCCTCCATAGTGCCCCGCCCCCTTGGTCTGGAGCTCAGGGAAAGATCCAAAGGCCCCATTTCCTAAGTTTTGGTTCCTTCTTTACCCAGGTAAGTAGAAGGGACAGAGGCATCAAAACTCTACTTCTTTCCAGCAAAAACTCTTCCAGAGTGGCCACCTGTACTCAGAAGTGGTATGGGGAGTGTGGAGTTGGGGTGTGGGGCACTGAGCCTCTGCCCTGACCACTGCCTTCTGTCTTCTCAGAGATCTTTGCAAAGGTGTCCAAGCAGAGGCAGAACAGCACCCGGACCAATGCCATTGCCCTAGGCAGTGCCCAGGCTGGGCAGGAGCCTGGTCCTGGAGAGAAGAGGGCCTGTTGCATCAACCTCTGATCTCAGCCATGGCCAGCCTGAGCCTCATTCCCAGGCTTCTGGTGCTCCACCCCCACCCCTCCTGTGGGACTTTTGATTCCCTATTCACAGGCACCCAGGGTAGTCATACCCCATCTCTTTTTTTTTCTGTCTACCCCCACCCCTTCAAATAAAGCTGTTTTGTATCAATGCCTGGCCAGCCTGCTGTCTCCTGTCTGTTCCTTGTCTATCTGTGCTGCCCTTCCAACTTTGACTCCTTTTGAGTCGTCCTCGATCCCTTTCTCCATCCCCTTCCTCCCCACGATAACCACTGCCCCCCACAGGGCCAGCTGCCTCTGGAGTGGTCTTGGGACAGTATCAAGGGGGTGGGAGGGTCTGCCCTTTCCTCTGTCAACCCCCAGGGTAGGTGGGAGATGGAAGACTGTGTGGAGGGAGGGGTATCTGGAAGGCCAAACAAAGAAACCATCCGTGGGCACCATCTGGTACCCAAGGTCCTGGTGCCAAGAACTGAGGTCACTCCAATTTGCCATCTTTTTCCCACAGAATCTAGGAGATTTTTTATCCAGGAAAGGGGTGGCAGGCACCCTAGAGATACCTACTTCCCAGTTCCCAGACTAGTTATACCAGGTTACCATTCTACTACAGCTGCTCCCTCACCCCATGACCGACTATCAAAGAAAGACAGAGGCTTAAGTAATAATACTTTTAATAAAATTAACTTCTCAATAGCACATTTAATACATTAACCCTCCCCTTCTTGGTTTCTCTGCATTTTGTGCAACATCACTTTGACTCGATTATTCATGGGTCTATTTTATTTCCCGCCTTTATTTTGCATTTGAAAACTTTTTCCTTGGTGGATTGTACGTGTTACTAGATGCCTCAAATTAAGTCTGACCACGATCCTACTCTACTTTCTACAGTGGAGAGACCACCTTCCCTGCCCCAGGGCTGTCTCCACCCACCCACCCGACCCCTCAAGCACGCATCCTCAGGTGGGCAAGGGGAGGCCCTCCCTCTTCCCAGGTGCTACCATCCCAAACTATTGAGGGTCCTAGGACAAAAAGAGCAGGGGGACCTCTTGTCTCTAAATGGGGTGAGAAGAGTAAATTGGGGAGGGAGATGTGTTTGGGGTGTAGGTCACGGGGCAGCATAGCACTCACTGGTATACTGTTTTTGCCCAAAGAAAACCAACAGGCCTCTCCCCATCTTAAATCAGATTGTTAACTGGGACTCGTAGAAGGCAAGTGCTTAGCAATGCTTATTCCTCACATGCAAAAGCCACGCTCCCAATTTTCTGTAGGGAAGGTGAAGTGGCCCTAGGCCAGGGCACTGTGGGTAACCCCTATCTGAACACAGATGGAGAGGGGCTGGAACACAAAAGTCACCTAAGTTCCTAGCACCCTTCCACCACCTCTGTACTTTGGGGAGTGAGTTCTCCCAGACCTCTTTGGACAGTATTTCCACTCCACCTCCTGGGTAGGAAGTCTTTCTCTGAATCTAATTTTTATGATATGGTAAAGTAATACCAGCAATCGGAGGCTAAACAGAAGATGGCTGCTAGTTCAAGGCCAGCTTGGCCTAAGTAGTGAGTTGCAGGACAGCCTAAGTAGAGACCCTGTCTTAAGAATTTTAAAAAAATTAAAAACTCAAAAAATCAAAACCAAAAACCTACAGATGTGACAACTACCCAGATAGCCACTCCCACAGCTGCCTGGAGGTCACAGGCTATGTGAGTTGCTGGATGGGAACAGGATGGAGGACTGATCTCCTCAGTGCTGGAAGCTCTTGCGGTGACAAGCATGTGCATGTCCACTGTGGAATGGCTTACCCAGCTCTTGAATCTGTGTGTAGCAACATGGACTGAGGTAATACTTCAAAAACTTCCTCAGTTGGGCTTGGGAGAGTTAGAGCTGGGCAGTCTCCATCCTCCCTGAGAGCTCTAGGAGAGGGTAGGGGCTTCCCAACAAAGATAGAGATGGCCAGGCCTCCAGCCCAGCCCACCTGGCTTCAGATGACCAGTGTGCATCCTTTCAAAGACCCTAGTACTAAGTGCCCTCCTGTACTCAGCCCATGCTTTAAAAACCCAAGGATTCTCAGAATCAACCCCAGCAGACTGAAAGCTTCCAGTCTTGGCTAGCAACCTGCTTCGCCCAGTTCCCCAAGGTAGGGCAGCTCAGGGCAACCCAGCCACTGGCCTCTATTCTTCCATACTTTTATACATTCTACCGGGCTCAGGTGCCCACAATGCTACTAAACTTTAAGCTATCTGAATATTGTCTACTAAGTAACTAGTAATTCTTTTTCTTTCTCTAGGATTATATGAAATAAATCTGAATTATTATTATTTTGTAGTATTCTCTTCTTTTAAACCCCTCGGTTCTTCTTTTTCTTCTCTCATTTTTTTGGTTAAAAAAATCTATTTCTTTAAAACTGACACCTCTCTGAGGGTTCCCACAGACCTGATAGGCCTTGGTTCTGGATTTCCAACTCCTTACTGCCCCTGGCACAGGGGAGGTGAAGGAGGGGACACCCCAGGATCCTCAGTCAGTCCATGTCCCAAAGCTCCTTCTTTTCTGGTTAATCCCTTCCTTTGTTTGGCTCTACCGGCTCCCCTGAGGGGTGAGGGGGAGGGGAGGAGGAGCCCACCGAGTGAAACCCAATCTACTGGTGGGGGCCCCCAGAGGGACCAACACCCCCAGTCCCTCTCTTCACCATCCATCCCAGGATGCTCCCCCAAGAAAAGCAAATGACATTTCTCCCCAAAAAAAAAGTGGGGGAGAAAAGGAACATAATCCCGAACATATATTAAAAACTTTTTTAAGATTTAACTCTGAATACAAATGTATTTTTTTCTTCTCTCCCTACATATATTCTAAACCTTCTAAAGTTTTTTTATTTTTTTTAAGGATCACTTTATCATAAAATAAAATATCCTTTTCATATAATAAATTACCTAATAAAAAGTCTTTTTCATATTAGCCCAGGTTCTTTGCTACATTTATACGGTAATAAACGCCTTTATTAAAATAGAATATTAAATTATAAAGAACTGCTTTTTTTTCTTTTTTGCTATTTTTGTTTCCTCTCCTCTGTTGGTCACCCATCTCACTCCCTCTCTTGCTTTCTCTCCTGTTTTGTCGCTCGCTCAGTGTTTTGCGCTTGTTTCTAGGTATGGCTCACTCAGTTAGGGTGGGATTGGATCAATGGAGCCCCTAGAGTAACAGTCTTTTGCCTTTGTGGGTAAGGAGTGGAGAGGGGGATTAACAGACAGACATCCTTCTTCCCACCCCACCCCCAACTACCCCTGGGCAACCCAAGGTGCCCATTTGGTTTGGTTTCTATGGTACAGACATCTCAAGATGGCTCACACTGGTGGGGAGGAGGGAAGCCATCACAGGCCTGTTTTAGGGTCTGTGACCTCCTTTCTTCTTCCCTCCCAGGCTGGTGGTCTGGAGGGGAAGGCTAAGGAGAGGCAAAATTATTCACAACAGGCAAAGGAGAAAGAGGAATTCCCTCTGTGCCTTCATTCCCCAATCCTTTCTCCATTCAGGAAGAACAGGACTCTCAAACCAGTCCCACCCACCCCCCACCCCATTACATACAAGCATCTCCTGGCCCTCTGGGCCTCCCCACTCCTCAGTTTCTCCTGCCCGGCCAGCGGAACCAGGAGGATTGGGAGGCTGATGTCAGATCCAAGAGAGCAATGGGGGATGGGGGGCTCGACAGGGGCAGCAAAGGGGTGCCAGGCCTATCACAATACATGATTCTTAGAACAAGCCCTGCTGTACCCCAATCCTGTTTTACCTTGGCCTGACCCCTCACCAAAGACCTGGCCTCTCACCTCAACCAGCGGGTGAGACAAGAGACTTCATAATTTGCAGCTAAATAATAATGGTTCTGTCAGGTCCAGAGAGGGGTCAGGGGGTAGGCCACTGCAAGAGAGGGGAGTCCTTCCAGCCATGACTCTCCTGCCCCAGGCCATTTTCTGCTTCTGGCTTTCCCTTCCCATAGCCAGAAAATCAAGGCTAAGAAATGCTCCCTAAATATAATGCTCATAGATGATAAAGGTTGGGGGTTGACCCTTTATGTCCATCAAGAACTAGAACTGATTCTTTGGAGGAGTGGCGAAGAGGGCTATCCCATGCCTGAAGAGAACTGTGGGTGGGGGTGGGAGTGTCTATCAGAATTTTCTCCCTACTTCCCAGGGAGATGGATTCCCCAAAGTTGGGCCGGAAGCAGCAGGAAGGAGAGAAGGGAAGACAGAGGAACAAGAGGGACCTAGAAAAACCAGCTGGGGGAGGGAGGGACAGAGAAAAGCACTGGAGAAAGGGGAAACCCAGAGGAAGGGAAGAAGGGGGAAAACGTGAAGTGAGGAGTGTGTGTGCGCATAGGGGATGACTGAAGCCCCTCTCTCCAGATTCTTCTGGTCCAGCTTGGAGGGGACAGATGAGTTATGAGCCCTTTATTGATAGATATCCTCTACCCCAGATCTACCCAGATCTTTAATAGGCCCTCATCTCCCTTAGACTGTTGGGGACTCTGGAATGGGAGAGTTTAAAGGGTCATGTTAGGAGGTGGGAGGTCAGGACCAGAGGGGGTGGGGGTTGCCAGCACCTCTAGATATGGATGGCAATTCTCCCTCTTCCCCACCTCCCCCACAGAAGAAGGGGCAAAGTGACACACTGTTGGGGAGGGCAAAAAGGTCAGGATGTCTTAGTGGCCACCTTTGACTAAACAAAAGCTCCTCTTAGCTGCTTCCAGATTTAAGGGTGTGTTGAGGTATCAGAGTTGTAACTCTAGTAAAACTTTCTGTCTGGCCCCCTCCCAATCTTTCCAGGGTAGGGTAACCAAAGGCTCTGAAAGTGGCCCACCCTTAAGCCACACCAGCCTCCCCTCCCCACCCCAGCTAGCAAATATCTCTAAGCACCTTGCCCTGTAGTCACTGATTTCTAGAAGGCCCTTATGGAAAACAGGTCCAGGGAGCGGGCCCAGGAGACCAGGAGCAGGGAACTTAGGAAAATATTCGGATGGCTTGCGTGGCGGTGATGTGGCAGACCGGACACTCCGGGTCCGTCCTCTCGCAGATGCGCACTGCACACTCCATGCAGAAAAGGTTGTGTCCGCAGGGCACGAGGGCGGCAGTCACTTCACTCTCAAAGCACACCATGCAATCCCGCCCGCCGCCGGGGCTCCGAAGCCCACCCGCCCCGAGTTTGGAGAAGCCCTGCAACGGCTCTCCGGGAGGGCGCCGAGGGAGTCCTGCCAGCTCTGGCCCGGCAGAGGCTGCAGGAGAGCGGTGTGAACCCAGAGGCCCACCTCGGGCCTTTGCGGAAGAGGAGGAGGCAGAGGAGGCGGAGGAGAAGAGCACCGAAGTGGGCGTGTTCTCTTGGCCCGCCCACAGCGGGGGGCTAGTCTCCGCCACGCCATAGTATACGTCCTGCTTGCCCACGCCATAGCCCGGAAACAGATACCCGCCGTAGCCGAAGTCCCCGCCCTGCTCACCCAGGCGCGGAGCCTCGAAGGCCGAGTCCACGCCACACTCTCCGATGCAGCCCAGGCTGTTCTGCCTGAAGGTGGAGAGGGGCTTGCAGCCAGGGTGCACCCGCCAGGCGTCGGAGTAGCGGCTGTCCAGCGCTGCGTCGGGGCTCCCTGCCAGGAAGTCGCTGTCACTGTTATACTCGAGGATCTTGCCAGTACGCACGGCAATGTGCGTCTCGATCTCCTCACGGGCACGCTCCACGTTGCCGGGGGCACCGGTGATCTCGAACACCGGGTCGCGATCCCGGCTGGGGGTGATGATGTAGGTGTTGGTCTGCTGTTGGATGCGTTTGATAGTCGCCCCCTTGGGGCCCACTACCAGGCCCACCACACGGTAGGGCACTCGCACACGGATGGTCACCTGGCCTGGCAGAGCAGGGGCCACCCCAAAGGCAGCACCAGACTTGTTGCGTGAGGCTCGTATCATAGAGAAGTGCTCTGCTGCTGAGATGATTTCCCGACGGGCTGTGGCCACATCCTCCCGCCGCCCTGTCACCATGAACACCGGCTCCTCTCCCCGCACAGGTGTCTTGATGTAGGTGTTGGTCTTGGCCCTCAGAGCCTTAATCTTGCAGCCTGGACAGAGTGGGAAAGAAACCCACAGGACAAGGGGGTTTGTGCTGGGATCTCACCCAGAATACCCAGCCTCCGGAACACTTCAGTTGGTCCAGTGAAACCCTCAGGACCACACACGCAGCCCACCCCACTTGAATAACCCACTCATTGATCCCGGATCAATGCACAGGGCTTTCCAAATACACTCCTCCACACCCCCACCCCACCCCAATAATCAGAGCCTTCTAACATCGAACTTCATAAACTCCTCCCAAGCATTTGCCTCTGAAGTTGCCTCCATCTTACCAACTACTCAAACTGTCACCTCTTCGGATCTTTGCACAAAACCCCAATGCACTCATTAACCTCACAGTCTATTCATTTGACCTCCATTCATTAAAAGTGTCCTCTAACTCACCCAGGGACATTGACCACCATGTGCAGTGACCTTCCCATGCCTTCTGCCCCACAGTCTCTTTCTGTGGTTCTCCATATCATGAAAAGTTTGCAGTACCTAGTGCAGTATGGGAAACTGTGGGGGGGGGGGAAATCTTGGAATCAGAATTCAAGAGAGAAGAGAGCAGGAAGATAGTCCCGAATGGTGAAGCATCATCCACCTGGTGTCACTCCCCTGCTTTTAGTGCAGGAGAGCCAAAATGTGCTGAGAGCTGAGCAGAGTGAGGCAGTGGGCATTTCTGCATCTAAGTTCCAGCTTTGAAAGAGGAGCAGGTTAAAGCCAGGGGACTTGGGAGAGAGGCAAGATGAGAAAGAAAAATGAGACAAAGACACAAAGAGAAAGAAAAAGTAGGGAGCCTGGGATGCCATTGTCAGCAAAGGCTGCAGACCTCAAAGGCCACGCTCCCTCCACCTGCAGCTACCTGCCCCTGCCTTCACAGCCTTGGAGCCTCTCACCCTTTCTCCATAAAGAGATCTAAGTAGCCCAAGGCTGGGTTAGCGTGACCTCACTCAAGCAGTGCAGTGGTGTGAGCAGAAGACCCCTCATACATCCCTTTCACACACAGGCCTCAATCTCCACCTCCCCAGCACACAAACTGCACATTGTTATATACATGCACACCTTTACCCCATTCCCACAGCCACTCCTGGGCTCTCCATACACATCTCACTGTCCCATCCCCCTCCTCCCCTCTTCATTCCCCACCCCCCCCCACTACCAAACCAAAACCCAAGTGCCCACTTTCCTGACTCTGCCCCAAAGGTCTAACTGCAGGCTTCTGGTGAATTCATTTTTAACCCCTTCCTTTCTCCACCCCAAATTGTGTCTTCTCCAACCCTAGCCGATTAGGAGACAGGGCAGCTTGGGGACAGATCTTTGAGACATACTAGGAGAGAAAATCTGCCCAGTCCGCTTGTTCCCAGATCCACTGGCAGGTAAGAAATCCTACCTGTTGTCAAGCTCACATTCTTGTTCCTCTAATGTCAGTAGGTGATAATCCAATTTTGTGAGCCTTGGAGGATTGAGGAACAACGCCTTCTGTCACCCCTACTTACATGCCACCTGATGGGCACCTGGGTTCTGGCTCTAAGTTTTGGGTTCAAAACTTTCAATGGGAACTAGATATTTTTGAGGTTGGGGATTCAGGAGGGCAAGCCCAGGCATAAGACTAAGGAAACAAGTCAGATGCCTACAGTACAGAAGGGGACAGACTCATCCCAGTTCTGTGACCCTCAGGAAGCATCTCTCAAAGGGGGGTCCTCACCTTCCCAGAGGTCAAACAAAACACAAACACTGCAGGAGCAGGAGGGAGGTCAGACAAAGGGGAGGACTTCCATATACTTAAGGAATGGAGGGGAACAAATGTTCTTTGAATAGGAGAAATTCTACTTTTATGGTGGGTAGGCACATTTATGGGGAGGCAGAATAGTAAGAAGGACTCCATTAAATTCTGGGTCCTCTCAAGACAATCCCTACTCCCAAATAAAAGATATTACTGTCCCCACCCAGTTCTAGGCTCCAGCATCCCCAATGTCTGACAAGAGGAACTCCAACTTTCTCAACCAGAAACCCCAAGAGATTTGGGGTGTGGGGAGGGGTGGCAGGACTACACAGGGGAGTGGCAACCTCCTCTCCTCTGCACAGCTCTCCCTTTCAAATCCTCCGGCCCCAGCATTCAGGTGAATGAAGTGGGATGTGAGGTAGGGGCCCCAGCCTTCCACTCTCCACCACCAGGAGCTGGCCTCCTCCCTTACTCTCGCGGAATGCAGCCCCTCCATTGTTCCCCACGGTGGGACAGCTCCTCCCCCACTCCACCTCCTAGCCCAGTCCCTTCGCAATTTCCAAATCCCGCCCCCGAATAACTGGGAGAGGGAAGGGTCCCCAAGATCCAGGCTGTTCAATCTGGATACTTACCAACACCCCCACCCCACCCAGGGATGCTAGGCCGAGGAGGGTGTGGTATCATACTCCATTGGGTTAATCCCACACCCCTCCCAGCACACCCAGACATGCACCCTCCACTGAATTTCCAAGTGAAGGTCTCTGGCCCCCTTGCCAGCATGTCCCTCCAGCCTTGTCCCACGCATTCACTCAAGGAGACTCCTCTCCAGGCCTCTGGTTCCAGGCCGTGGCCAGCCCAGAACAAAAGCAAGAGGGAGGAGGAGAGGTCTGCGCCAGAACTAGTACTTCCTCAGAGAAACCCCTACCCAAAGCCATGAGTCCCCTAACTTCGGTGTGTGGGTGACCACAGGACCCCTTGCGGTCAGGGGCTCCCCACATCAGCTCTCCCCAGACTGGGACCCTCCCCTGGGCCACACCCCCTTTCATTCCTACACTCAGCCCAACAAAGAGACAGATCCTCAGTCCGGCTTCATCTCTGGGTCTCCCTCCGAGTCTCTAACTCCAAGCGGCTGACGGTCCCAGGGGTACCCCCTCCCCAGTCCACAAGCAAGATACCGGAGTAGGGGCTTCTAAGTAGCTGCACATTCCGTCAGTCAGTCCTTGTATCCAGGAGTGGACACCCCCTCTGCACAACCCCGGGATTGGGAGACAGCTCCCCCTTCCCTTCCTCTCCCAGTTGCAGGATATTTCTTTGTCTACGGGCGGAGCCCCAGGGGAGGAAGGGTCCCGAGAGCCGTCCCGACTAGGGGTAGCAGGGAACTTTGTGGCACTTGAAGTCTAGGTAGGGGGCGGGGCCCCCTTTGTGGGGAAGGGACAGAGCCAGAGGTGGGCAAAGAGGGAAGCGATGAACTTTCCGCGCTGGGGAGCGCGAGCCCCCACTCTATCCCTCCCCGTGGTCGCGACGCCCGCTTACCTTGCCTGCCCACGATCTCGGCCACGTGCTCAGAGGTGGGCACCGGAACACACTCCGTGGTGTTGCTGCTGCCCTTCAGGCGCAGCTCGGCCTCTTTGTAGAGAGCGCAGAGCTTGGCGTCGCTCGCCCCTTTGGGGGCGGTGGGGGGCTGGGGCGTCTGCGCCGCGGGGGCCGCGGTCTGGGCGGCCGGGGGCGCCGCGGGGCGGCGGGGCTGGCTGTGGGGGGACGGCCGGCTGCGCGGGGGCGCCGCCCCCCCCACCTCCCCCGTCCTCGCCCGCCGTGGGGGCGGGGGGCTCCCCCAAACCCAGGAGGCAGAGTTGATCGAGAGCCAGCTGAAGGGCGCGCTCGTCTTCCAGCAGCCCTCGGTCCTTAGCGCTTCCCCCGAAACATCCTAGTTCTCCAAAGCCCCCATTTCTTTCCATTATTCCAGATACCACTAGACTAGGCATGGCGAAACAAAAGCTGGGGGAGAGAGGGAGAGAGAGAGGTGGTGGAAGGGAGACGAGGAGAGAGGAGGGGAGAGGAGAGGAGGGGTGTGTGTGGGGAGGGGGAACAAAGAACTGGGGAGGGGGGAAGAAAGCGAGATAGAAAGATAGACCCACCCCTTAAGCCCCCCTCCCCAAGCACCCTGTAACCCGACTCCCCTCGCCCCAGCCCCCGGGTGGGGGTGGGGGGAAAGAGAAGCAAAACCAAGAAAGCAGATCTCTGCGCTCCGGGGTGACGGGGGGGGGGGCGCAGGCTCTGTGCCCCCACCCCTCCGCCTCGGACCCGGAGTGTCTACCCTCAGCGGTGCAGACGCCCCCTTCGACTCCCGCACAGAGCCCCAGTCCCGGAGCGGCGCTCAGTGGCCCCCAATAGAGCCCAGCCCCTTCCAGCGCTCAAACTCTTTTGTTTTAAATGAACTGGATGGAGCAGCATGGAACTGACGGGAGGGGGGCGCGCCGGGGGCGCCTGGGGCATGCCGGGAGTTGTAGTTTCCTGCCCTCAGGCGAGGGGGACCAATTCCTTGACCCGGGGAGGAAGGGGACGTGCCCTCGGGCTCTGCCCACCGCTCCCAGGCTAAGCCCCGGGGGCGCTGGAAGTCCCGGTCCTTAATTTTTCAGGGGCGGGGATAGTGGGCGGGAAGGGAGCGGGCGTGGAGAGGGCTGCCTGCCTGGCCTTTGGGTCTCGGGCCCTCTTTCTTATGGTAATGAGGGCCGGGGCGGAGACGTGAAGCCTGCGGCATCCCCCTCCCTCACCCGCACCGCCAGCTCTGCTATCCCCCTCCCGCGGCGTCCGCCGAGTGGATGGGCTTGGGCCTCGGGAGAGCGCTTGCACCGCAGACAAAGCCCGCTGGTGCGGTGCTGGGGAAGGGGCTCTGCGCTTCGGAAGGCCGGGAAAGGGTGTCGGGCTGGTTGCGGGGGAACCCTGGCAGAGATGAGGGAGTCTCCTCATCTCGTAAGTAATTAACCACCCTCCTTCCGCAGATCCCATTTTCGGAGATCTGCGAGGCCGCGGCTGGGAGGTGAGTTAGTTCGCGCCCCTGTGGTCCGGGGAGGGCGGGAGGACGGTGGAGTGACGAGATGAGGAAGGCGATGCGTGAAGGGAGAGGATTGGGGGCGCTGAGCCGGGAGGCAGGAAGACTCCTGAAGGCTTCGTTGTGACTTTGTTTGGGTCCTTGAACTTTGGGTTTGACAGAAAATGTGAGGTTTGGGGATCCCTGGGAATCTAGGATTTCTTCAGCCTCGGGCCATGAATATAGTGGAGGTCATTTGTCCCTTACTGATTCCGGGACTTCTCATGATTCCATGCATGAAGACTTAGTAAACGAGGTTTCTGACTCTGCTGGGTGAATGCTTGGTCTTTTGGTTGTTCGAGGAAATTTTTCTGCGCTGCTTTACCCGCCTTTGCCATTAATTCCCCCACTTTGACGCTAGGAGTTGGCTGAGAACAGAAGTTTTTAAGACTTATCGGACAACTGGCCACTTTGAGAGGGAGCAGGGGAAGTTGGAGGGTGGGTTGTGCCTTACCCTTACCCTGTATCTTCGACATTTCTTTTGTCACTCTTCAAAAACCCGGGTCTTTTTCAAAAGTCGGGTGGGCACTGCCTGTGAGAGCCACAGTGGTAGATGTCTTTCTGGCGTGCCTGGGGAACCAGCAGTCTGAACTTCTGAAAAGCTCTGCTCAAAGCAGAGGAATGACTGAGATGACCTTACACACTGGGCACTGGCAGGCTTGAGTTTAGGCCCCAGTCTCTAAACTTGTTCTTGAAAAGAATGAATTTGCGCATGAGTGGGAGGCTGGAATCTGAGCAGAGTGTCAGGAGGGTTGAGGGTTAACTGTTCTGCAGGACTTTCTCCTTTCTCTGCAGATGGTAAAGAACCTTGGACTGAGGAACCAGGATCCAGGAGTTGGGAAAGGGTGAATGCATGGAGGATTGAACAGATTAACAACACATCTTCTGAAATTGGGTGCTGGTGCCATCAGTCGGGCATCGGAGGAAGAACTGGAGAATGGGCTGCTCTTGTAACCTGTCTGTCTGTTCCAGGAACCTGGACTGAAGGAATGATGGGGCTTTCCATCAGTGGAGAAAGTACCCACTGTGGACCTGGTGACTCTGGGGCCACCAGTTGGTTTGAGCTTTTCTGTTCTCACTGAAATGAGATTACCCTCTAGAGTTTGCCCAGTCTGCCTTCCTCCCCACTAAGCCAATTAAAGCAGGGAGTTAATGACCAAAAAAACCTTGGGGATTTGGTCAGGGAGGAAAACAAAGGGCAGAATATTGAGGGGGGAGTGGCAAGGGCAAAGAGCAGGCTGAAGGTGCGGTGGGCAATAAGACAAGGATGCATCAGCCCTTTGGGTGCCTTAGTGCCCCCACTCAGGGTCACACTATGATTCCAGACAAACATCCTCCATGGCAGAAGAGCCTGGCACATGGAGGGCATGGTGTGGTTGAAGTGCTCAGGTGTATTCACAGGAGCAGGTATCTGCAGAGCTGGGGGGCGGTGGCATACCAGGTGCAGAGGAGCTGTGGGGACAAGCATCTGTTCTTGCTCCTGTGGCTGAGGCCTCCTTTGCTCAGGTTAATGCCAACCAGGCTGGGCCGCTCCCCTGCCGTGGTGCCCATCAACACTATAAAGGCAGAGGCCTAACAAGCTGCTTCCTCTCTGCCCTGTGACAGAAGGGTGTGGAGGGGCCATATTGATCCCCCTGCAGGACCTTGAGGATGTCTGTCTCTCTCGTCTGTATGCCTCTTTGTTTTTGTTTTATTTTGTTTTGTTTTTTAGATTTTTGAGACAGGGTCTCCCTGTAGCCCCAGCTGGCCTCGAATGAACTATGTAGACCAGGCTGGCTTTGAACTCACAGAGATCCCGCCTCTACCTCCTGAGTGCTGAGATCAAAGAAAGATGTGCCACACCATGCCCAGCTTTTTTCTTTTTCTTTTTTTTCTTGATCTGTGTGTCTCTATGTGTATGTGCCTCTTTATTTCTGCCTCTCCTTTCTTCCCCTTTCCCCTTCTTCCCTTCCCCTCTCCTCTTCAACTCTCTCAGCTCCTATGTATGTTTGTCTGTGTATCTGCATACATGAGCATGCCATACATACCTAGCTGCAGAACAGGAAAAGTAACCCAATGGGAAGAGGTCTTGTGAAGACCTGAGGACAGGAATGTGGTAGAAAGTCCAGACTGTGAGAGTGAGTCCCTTGACTGCTCTGAGCAATCCTGAGCACCTGCTGTCGGTAGGGTGGGTAAGTACCAGGGTAGAAGCACATGCCTAATACTTGCCCCTCCCAAGCCTATGGTCAGAGCCCTGAGAAGGGAGAGGACTCAGGAAGCTGTCACTGAAGATGCCTTCCCAAGCAGGCTAGGCTTAGTTGTCTCCCCTATCACCCTGTTCCTCATAAGGATGCCTCCATCTGTCCTGGTCAGCTCAGCTTCCCTCCAATGTCCATAAGGGTTTCCATTTCTTTCTTTTTCTTTCCCTCCCTCCCTTCCTTCCTTTCCTTTTTTTTTTTTTTTTTATTTGAGACAGGGTCTCTTTGTAGCCGCAGCTGTCCTGGAACTCACTATGTAGACCAGGCTGGCCTGAAACTCACAAAGATCTGCCTGCCTCTGCCTCCCAAGTACTGGGATTAAAGGCATGTGCCACCACACCCGGCTCATTTATTTATTTATAGACAGGGTCTTACTGTATATCCCAGGTTGGCCTCAAACTCCCAGAAATCTGCCTGCCTTTGCCTCCTGAGTGCTGGTCCATTTATCTTTAAAAGAAAATGTTGTGGGTGTGTGCATACTATAGTGCACATGAGGAGGTCAGAGGACAACTTGTGGGCATAGATTTTCTTCCACTACCTCCTTGTGAGTCTCAAACTCAAAATTGTCAGGTTTTCTATCAAAGAATGTTCACCCACTGAACCATCTCGATGGCCCTTTTTTTTCTTTTCTCTCTTTCCTTCCCTCCCTCCCTGCATCTCTCTTCCCCCCTCCCTTTCTTCTCTCCCTCCCTCCCTCCCCTCTCTCTCTCTCTCTCTCTCTCTCTCTCTCTCTCTCTCTCTCATCATGTAGCCCAGTCTGACCTGAAACAACTCACTATGTAGCTAGCTGTTACTGGACTTGAATGCCTGCCCCCACCTCCCAAGAATTACAAAGGTGCTATAGCTGCCTGGAACTCACTGTGTAGACCAGACTGGCCTCTTACTTCATAGATCTGCTTGCCTCTGCCCCCTGAAGGCCAGGATCAAAGATGTTCGGCACCACATCCCACTTCCTTTCTTTAAAAAAAAAAACTTTGTTTTTAAGATCTTATTTATTTTTTATGTGTATGAGTATTTTGCCTGAGTATATGTAAGTGTACCATATGCATAACCTGGTGTCTTTGGAGGCCAGAAGAGGCCATCAGATCCCCTGGAACTGGATGGTTGTTAGCCATCATGTGGGTGCTGGGAACTGAACCCCAGTCCTTTGGAAGAGCAGCAAGTGTTCTGAGCCAGCTCTCCAGTGCAGACCCCCCACCCTGTTTCCCTCTCTTTTTAAAAAAAAAAATTATTAGCCGGGTGTGGTGGCGCACACCTTTAATCCCAGCACTTGGGAGGCAGAGTCAGGCTGATCTCTGTGAATTCAAGCCCAGCCTGGTCTACATAGTGAGTTCCAGGCTAACTGGGGCTACAGGGAGACCCTGTCTCAAAAAGATCCCCCCAAAATTATTATTTTTATTTGTATGCGTGTATTGCCTGCATGTAGGTAAGTGCATCTGTGTTGTGCAATGCCTGCAGAGGACAGAAGAGGCTGTCGGATCCCCAGGAATTGGAGTTACAGACAGTTGTTGGCTGCAATGTGGGTGCTGGGATTCGAACCTGGGTCTTCTGCAAAAACAGTCAGTGTTCTTAACCGCTGAGCCATCTCTCCAGCCCCCCCTGCCCCCATTTTCCTTTCTTAATACCTCTTGGAAGTCTACCCTGGCCATCTACCCATTGCCTTTCCTGCTGATTGTACAGCCAGTTTTCTCTGGCTGGAATGCACTGAACTTAGTAAATTTGTTTTTGTTTTTGTTTTTTGTTTTTTTGAGACAGGGTCTCCCTGTAGCTCAGCTGGCCTGGAACTCCCTATGTAGATCAGGCTGGCCTCAAACTCGCAGAGATAGCCTGCCTCTGACTCCTGATTAAAGGTGTGTGCCACCACACCCAGCTCTCAATTTAGTAATTTTTTAAGACAATTTTTTAAATTTATGCGTGTGGGCATTTGTGTGTCACAGCACACACACAACTCAGCGGACAATTTGTGGGAATCCATTCTCCTACTACCACATGAGTTTCAGGGATTGAACTCAGGTCCCCAGGCTTGGTGGGGAACGCTAAAAGAGCCATGCGCCATCTCAACTGCCTGCAACTTATTTCAACTAGTAAAATTATATTGGGTAAAATTATACACACTGTGTAAAATAAGTCTCAGATTTGATCCTTGCTCCCATGGAGACAAAGTACCTGGCTTATATGATCAAAGAGCATGACCAAAGAACAAATATGAGGGTCAAACCACCTCTGACACCTGAAGGGCCACAGAGACTGGCAGGGAGGGTGTCAGTGGGTACTCTGTTGCTCTCCCTCTGCCTGACCTCTAAGCACTTTGCAACCCCAGCCTGGAATTTGGACTTGGGCAGACAACACCTGCTCCTTTCCTGGGACCACCCGAGCATTTACCCCTACTAGATCCCCTGCACTCTCTGATTTCCCCAAGAAAAGCAGCTCTGAGGAGCAGGGGTGGAGCCTGGACCTACCCCCCCACCCCCCAGGACAGCTGGCTGACAAGGCCCCTCTGGGACTCAGCTGGGCCCAGGCGCCAGGAGGTGGTGATACTGGAGCTGTGACAGTTGGCCCCTAGATTCCTCACCTAGTGGCGCCAGCTCTGGTTTCCAACTGGGGGTGGGGTGGGGGGTCAGATTAGCTACTCTCTTGAGACCAGGAGGCAGTAAACATGGCTCCATGATACTGAGGGCACCGGGTTAGATGCTAGAAGGGGATTCAGAAGCATAAGCCACAGTCTGGCCTGGGTGAATTGTTGGATGTAATGCATGAAGTAGAATATTGTGTGTAGGTCAGAACTGGGGAAGGGGATGCATAGTTTAACCCTTACCCAATAGCATCATCTATGGAGGATACACAGCCCTGAGAATCCAGGTCTTGTGACTCCCTTCTGCCTCCATTTTGTCTCCTTTGCGGGTAAGGAAAGAGAAAGAGGGATGGAAAAGGACTTTACCATTTCTTAAGGGCCTACTTGGTGCAGGCTCTCTTCAACTTTATTTGAGGGAGGGGGTGCTTTGAGACTAGATCTCCCTGTAGCTCCAGCTGGCCTGGAACTCACTGTGTAGACCAAGCTGTTCTTGAACTGACAGAGATCTGTCTGCCTCTGCCTCCTGAGTGCTGAGATTAAAGGCAGTTTGTGCAGTCTTAATTAAAATTATTTTATTATACTTACTGTGTGTGCATGGAGGTCACATTGTGGGATTTGATTCTTTCTTCTACCTTGTCCTGAGGCTTGAACTCAGGTCCTTAGGGTGGCAACAAGCACCTTTATCTGCTGAGCCATCTCGCCTATCCTTTGATAATCATTTAATCTTCCCTGGGCATGGTGGCTCACGCCTTTAATCCCAGCACTTGGGAGGCAGAGACAGGCAGACCTCTGCAAGTTCCAGGCCAGCTGGGGCTATAGGGAGACCCCGTCTCAAAAAGCAAAAAAAATCAAGGCCAGCCTGGTCTACATAGTGAGTTCCAGGACAGCTGACGCTACAGGGAGACCCTGTCTCAAAAAGACCAAAAAAAAAAAAAACTTACAAAAAAGGAAAAAAAAAATTTTTTTTCATAATTCCTTGAAGCTGTAATTGCAGTCTATGTTTAACATAAGAGACCCAAGGCCCAGAGAGATCAGGTATCTTGTCCAAGTCACACAGCTGGTTAAGTAGAAACTGTTCAAAACTGACTCTAGACCCGGGACCAAAGAGGTAGACAGTGACATTCACTGAAATGATTAAAGCTGGAGCAGTTTGGGGAGGCTTCCTAGTTGAGGTGGATCTGCTGGAAGGGGGAAGGAGTAAAGTTCACTGAAAGGGAGTGAATTAGAGGAGTTTCTGAAGGTTGTGTGGCAGGAGAGATTTGCTAGTTAGGCAGGTGGCCTGCCAGTTTTCACAGAACCTGGGAAGAAGGGTGTGTGACCACCAGGTGGCACTGCAGACCAGCTACCACGCTGCCTGGGGCTGGTCTAGGACAACAGGGCTCTGCTGCTTTCCACCTGCCCAGCCAGGACTCTGTCCTCTGCCCTATACAACTCAGGTTTGGTCTCAAGCTTCCACCTGGCCCTCAGTTTCTGTCAGGGCATGTAACACGTGGATGACAGGATACTGATACCATCTATTCAGAATTCAGAGTGAAAACCTAGGAGGCTGAGGTCCCCCAGCAGCTTACACTCCTCCTATCTGGTGCCTTCCTGAGTCCCTTGGAGATATGGTTTAGAGGATTGTGAAGGACACAGGAGTTTAAGTCTAACTGGCTTGGGCCTGCAGGGAAGAAACTACCTAATAAACTTTTCATCCTGTAATTGTGACTGCTGGTGCTACTGTTTGTTCTTTCCCCACGCTCCCCTTCTTGGGAATCTTTCACACTTTCACCCAGCAGCCCTGTGAGCTAAATAGAGGGGGCTTGGGAACTAGCAGCCTTGACTTTAGTTCTGGCTTTGTCCCCAAACGACCAACCCTGCCCCCACCTGCTTTCCTAGGTTTTGATAAATGACATCACCATCCACCTGGTTGTTCAAGTCTGAAAATCTGAAGCCATCTGTGACTTCTGTCTCTCCCCTAACTTGCATCAGCA